TACCACATGAGTTTGTTGGGAAGGTGATCTTCGCTGTGAATGACGCCGTTGGGGATGCAGCGTCGGGCGTTGCTGACAACCTTGAGGTTGAGTCTGTTGCTGGGATGATGATCGTGAAGTAGCATTTGCTGCTCAATGAAGGTAGTCACAGTTGTGTTTTGTTCGGTGGGTATTGGGAGGTGGTGTGTTTTGTGCCACCTCTGAATCGCTGCAAAAAGGTCCTGGCGGAGCTGCTTTGCCGGCGGAAAGAAGGTGCTTCTGCCCGAGTATCTGAGAAAGTGGTGTTGTGGGACAAGAGTACAGAGAGGGATGGCAATGTGGCCATTGTGAAGGTGGGTGGGGTGTGCTTGTCGGAGGTGCTGGCAAGCGCATTGGGGCGGTTGATCTGGCTTCCAATGTCGGTGGACCTGTCGCCAGTTGTGAATGTGATCTTGTACCCGTGGGTGTCGTGCAAAGTCGACAGTGGTGGTGGGAGGGTGCAAAGGTAGGGTGTGCTGGCGGTGTAAGGTAATCTGACGGCGTAAAAATGTTCGGGTTGCGGTGGTTTGTGATGGGTGTGCGAGGTATGGCAACGTGGCTGGTCTGCGCGCTCTGGGAACAGGTAGTGATCGTTTGCGCATGGCTGTAGCTATAGCTTTTGCAGCAGGTCGTTAGTGTGTGGTGGGTAGGTTGCGAGCGATGCGATGATAGGCGTATAGCTGGGCTGAAGGAGTGCGTCGTCTCATGAGTTCTTTGGTGGAATCAAAGCGTCTTTTGGTGTTGGACGCTAGATTGCAAATAGTGTGCCAAACTTGGGTTTGGCGTTGAAAGGTCCGGGACCTGTGGAGTGGAGCGGTCGAAGGGTTGGTGGTAGGTGTCGTCTTCGGAGTTTGGTTCAAATGGACGCAACGCCTGCTCTTTGCTGTGTTTTGTGACGCGCTGGTTGTGTGATGCCCCGGAAAGCTCTTTTCATGTACGGGGCAATGTGTGGGTAATTGAGTTTCGGTTGAAAATGCTGAATAAAGGTTTGTTCCTGGGCTTCCAAGTAATCGTGTGGCACGTTGTACTGTATGACGAGGGGGATGAACTGGTGGTAGTTTTGGTGTTGTCGCCACCATCGCAAGGATAGCTCGGCATCAATGATGGCGTCTTTGGTGAGTTGGCGGAATTTGCGGTTGCGCTTGCTTTCGCGGTTTTGCATGGTGTTATGTGTGCATCCGATGTAGATAAATCTGTGGTGTCTGCGGGATACGGTGACTCTGGCGTACACTACGCCGGTGGTTTGGAAGTGATGGTAAGTGTAGGTGGGGTAGTGTAGCTGTGTTCGTTGGTACAAACGCCGGATGGTCTGTAAGTGGCCACGCTGCTGAGGTGTGTGGTAGTGAAGAGCGTGGAGCAGGATGCATCTACCTGCTAGCCACAAAGTGATGGCGTGTGCTTTGGTGGAGGAGGATTCGGCTTCGGGGAGAAGATGTGATAGAGTAGAAATGGAATTGGTAAGGTGAGTCGTGCGTTGACAAAACTGCTGTTGTGCATTGTGCTTTGCAGCCTGAGTGATGAGTCACTCAGTAAAACAAGCAATCACACTGAGGATGCTGATTAAGTGATGGGCCTGCAACTTGCGAATATGCTGCTGCGGTAGACCCCAGGCTGCAGCGTTTTTCTGCAGTTGTTCTGTTTGCTGATCAGTGAGGCTGGGGTACTGCTTGAGCAGCTCCTGGATGTTGGTTCGGACCTCCTGCTTTTTAGGGTCCGGGATGCGGAGCGAGCCGATCCACCGTTGGATGCCAGCATCGGAATGGGCACCGGTGTAGTTCTGCGAGAACCATTGCGATGTGCCCGAAGGCTCTGCAAAAATGTCAGGCTTCGCCGGCTTGGCGGGTGCCCCTGGTAAGGTTGTTTGTATCTTTCTGCGCTTAATGGCCGAGAGGGGGCTGTCTTCGACTGCAATGGGTTTCGCATGTTTGGGGCTGAGTGTGGTGAGTGTTGTAGGCATGGGGTTGGCTGCGTTGATTGTGTCAAGATTGGGGATGGGGCTGTCGGGAGGAGTGGCTTGAGAGGGGGCGACGGGAAGAGCTGCAGTCATGGTGCTATGGTTTGTTGGTGGGGGTTGCTGATGGTGGGTGCCGGGGATGGGGGCGGGCGCTTTTTGGTTGGTGTGGCAGGCGCACCTTGGTCGCCACTGGATGCAGCTAGTTGCGCTTGCGCGGTGGCAAGTTGTTGTTCGAGCTGTAAAATTCGCTGGTTGGATTGCGCGTCTGTGGAGGTTGTGTTCTGAGAAGGTGTCTCATGGATGAGTCCGCTCATGTACTCATAGAATTCGTCAGCAAGGGCTGCCAACGCTTGCTTCTTGCTGGGATTAGAGATGGGTGGGATGGCTCCTTGGCAGTGCGCCAATGCTACGGTGTCGAGGTCGATCTTGTTGTGGTTGAGTCTGGAAAAGAGCTCCGTAGCCAACATGGCGTGCGAAATGTGTTTTGTGAACACTGGATATACTTCATGTCCATGACACAGGTATCGGAGCCAATACGAAGACCAGGAATGACGAATCACGGCCAAGAGAGGGACCGTCTCGATTGGGCATCCTGCAATGCCCAATTTTTGAGTGTATGTCGTTGCTTTGACTGCTTTTGGTAAGTCACACCCGTATATGACCCTGCAATCATGATAATGCTCGGAAGGGACGAAGTCGTTTGGGAGAGATGGAGTGGCAAAAGAGTGTGGAGGAGCAGGGCTGGTACGGTGGCGTGTAGGGGGGTTGAACGATGGTAGTTGAGGGGGGAAGCATGGTTGTGGGGTAAACTGTGTTGTCGGCTGGGCATGATGGGGTGCCCCTCGCTGGGGCAGTGGTGCTGCAGCGGGTGGTGGCACTTGATGGGAATGTGCTGCTCTTGTCACAATGCCAGCGGGCACTCTGTATGTGCCGCGGTGCCCCGGTGGCGGTGGGGGTGGTGTTCGCTGCATCTTATGTAAAATCGGGCTACCTGCGTTCCTGAAGCCGGCAAGACTGACAAAGGCAAACATGTACAGAATCGGACCAGCAAATTTGGCGACCTCAAGTTATGCAACTGCGCCTCAGGGGCTGTTTTGCATGTACGTAGGTACGCTGCATTGGTCTCAGTTAGTTGCAGGGTGAAACACTAGAGGAACAGGTTGTTGGAAAAATAACAGAAGGGCACTCTCTCAGGAAATGGCAGGAGCAACGGTATCCAGCTCTGACCAACATCTTTGCGCAAGCTCTGGATCTGGGTGCCACGCCTGTTTGCGCTGAAGTAGAAGTCGATGTTGCGTGGCTGGTGGAGTTGTTGGTGTGGTCGTTGTAAAGTTGAAGGTGGAGGTCTTGGTTAATGTATGCGGAGTCGCTGGACGATCCGCTGCATGTGCTGCTGTGACGGGCTTTTGCTTTTCTTTTGCGCTTTGTGCCCTTTCTGGTCTTTTTGGTCTTTTTTGGTGTTTTGCTTCGCTTATGCTTCTTTTTGGACTTGCCCTTGGTAGTCTTCTGGTGCGAAAGGTCTGTGGCTGTTGCTGGTACCTCGGTGATCTGTACAGAGGGGCCTCCTGATCGGGAAGGACTTCGCTGCTCAAGAATGGCCACGCCTGAGTGCCAAGACGATTCGTCGTCTGAAGCCATGGACCTGCAAATCAGGTGTAGTAAAACGCAAAAGGAGGCCGCACGAATCATCACTGTGAAACTGGCAAAGGTGCTTGTGCAACGCAGCGCATATGTAAAGGCACTGTTTTGTCTGCGAGCAATGGTCACCGGCTGTGACCCACCATCAGCAAACCCTGCACGTGAAGGTGACCAGCATGGGCTCCCCATCTGTCACTGTTCCGCAAAATTCCTCTGCGCCGGCACACGTGCGCTTCGTCGGTCAAGCTTGACCAACTTGATTTGTAGTGTGCTTCGGTGGTGGCCAGTGAACAGAGCAGAATAATGTCATTACGACCTTTCGGTCGCATCAGCAATTGTGCCGTTGCGACATGCATCGTGTAGTCCGATATCTCACCCCCGGGGTCGCCGACCCGTAAACCACCGATGGTGCAGCCCTTGAATTTCGAGGAAGGGCTGTAGGTCTCAAAACTCCTTCGCATAGGATCTCCGCCACGGCTTGAAAGGATGTTCCGTGAACAAACGCATAGTAGTTCACCGACAGTGGATTGGTCCGCCATTCGGAAGCCGTAACACCAAATGGTGGCGGAGCCTGGAAAGGCACGGTGTTCCCTTCGAAGAGGTCGGGGTCGTGCAATGAAATGAGTAGCGCGGGGTAGAGAGTATCTATCTCTACCCACCGAATTGCCTGGATGCCTCGGTCGTTGGGAACATGCCCTGCTGCACGTAGCATCTGTGATAGTGCGACCAATTGGTCGCGAGTAAAACCATCAACAGCTGCATCACCACTGACCTCTCGGACCCTCTCAATCCACTGCTCAGCATCTTGAATATCGTAGCTGATAAGTTTGGGTCGCTGGTCGTGCGGCACTTCAGCTGCAGGGCGTACGTCAATGCAGGGAGGCAAAGGGCTTGAGAAAACGTTGAAAGGCTGCTGCGAGCTGCTGTCATATGTGGGGTTGTCGGAACGTCGGTGGGATGGTTGCTTTGGTAGTGTTTTTGAAGTTTGTGGTGGGGGTGGTGGAGGTGGGATGCGACGTGGTGTTGTGCTGGTTGGGCCCATTGTGAGGGCGAGCCTCTGAAACTGCTGACGAAGAACAGTTGCAGGCTGTAGTCTAATCCGTGGTGTTGGAGGTCGGCTCTTCCGCGGTGGTGGTGAAGAACTGTTGTGAGAACTTGGTGTTCTTCTCCGAGAGTCTCGCCTTCTTCTGGTGCGGATGGAGGGTGAGTACGATCGGCTGGGTGTGGATCGGGATCTGCTGTGGTTGCGCCGGGGGCGGCGCCTCCGGGATGCTGAATGTCGTCGAGTTGAGCCTTTGGCGCGTCCTTGTGCCGGTGACCTGCGTTGCCTGGACCTGTTGGTCCGGCGACGTCTGGATAATGGAGTACGTGAGCGATGTGTGTGTGGTGGGCTCTGATGCTGTTTGGTAGTAGTTGGGGTGGGAGCTTGCGTGGGAGCTTGTGTGGGGCCGGGAGTGGTGGTTGTTTGGGTTGTGGGGGTATTTGACGGTGTGGTGTAATTGTACGGTGCCACAGGACCAATAACGCCTGCGGGACCTGGGTTGTGTGTCACCGGGGGATTGTTTGCCTGCTGAGTTGTCGTTCCCGGATATGCGATAGCTGGCTGTGCACCATGTTGAAAGGGTGCAGGGGCAGGTTGTAGATGTGGTTGGGGCAAGGCTGCAAAAGTGGCTGTGGAATATGTGGGGGTTTGCAAAAGCAGTGTTGTGGCGTCGAACTGGTACTGTGGTGATGTGGGAGGTGGTGGTTGTTGTGGCTGTGGCTGAGGAATCAGGTTGCAAGCCGACTGCTGTGGAGGGCTGGGAATCGTTATTGTGTTGTTGGCAACAGAAAATGGTGGGTAGGTCTGCTGCACCTGCGCGGTGGATGTGAAGGGTGGTGCGTTGGGTGTGAGTGGCACTGGTTGAGCCACAGGAAACTGTACATGTGTTTGCTGAAATTGGGGCTGTGGTTGCTGAAGTGGTGGCTGCTGGATGTGCAACTGTTGTTGCGTGGGTGCAGCGGATGTGTACCCGTGCGTCCAGGGTGCTGCTCGGTGGTACACTGGAGATTGCGCAAAAAAGGTTGCTGCCGGCAACGATTGTTGCGACGCAACGGCTGGTGCTGACATCGTTGCTTGCACCGGAGGCTGTGCCATAGGGTGAAACTGCATCATGAGCGTTAGTAACACACACCGAAGCTTGTGCACTGCAGCTAGAGTCCGGTCACAGTGCGAAAAACATGGCGGGGTCACTTGCAGTCCCTTTACCCTAATGCATTAGCACTCCTGACAGCACATATGCAGAACTGCGCGGAGACCGAATAGAGGGGAGTAAGAGTAATTCAGGAACTAGCCAGCTGGGCACTCCTAACAGAAACACATGCAGACCTGTGCGTTCTCAGACACTCATGTCCCGCCTGACTGATAGGCAGGAGTGTCTTAAACGAAAACTGAACGGTACCTTGAGCCTCATCGAGCCCACATGAATACATGATGAAAGAGGGTCGACGAGAGAGAGAGAGAGTCGAAATCTCCACTGAAGGAGAAAGAACGGATCCCCATGCACGAGGACTGCCTCAGAATGAGACCACCACGGCGCCGTGACGGATAGCCGTTGTGACACACTTAGAAAAGT